CCCAAGTCAAGGGTCGTATATACTGACCTAGTAGCATATCTTGAAAACTAGAGCCAATCAACAATTTTAAGCATCATTTTCGTTCTCAGTGACCCAGAATTAGTAAAGTGTGATTACATTTATTTCAGAAGCATTTTGGCTGTAGAGCAGTGTAATAAGGGCATGAGCTTGTTCTTATGTTACTGTGGGCTATCTCAACGTACTTTTGTTCTTAATATTTCAAAGACCAGGAAATACACTTGGTGCTCTTTTCCACTGTGTAAGGTCTATCTAGTCAGTATTCTGACAGATGCTAAAGAGATTTATTGTTCATCATCAAATATTATGTTTTGTGATCAAATTCTTCTGCAACTTATTTTTTATCAAAAGCTTTTTCTAAAAATGTAGTTGCCATTTTAATTATGGAAATCCTGTTCAAGTTCGCAGTTATCAGTTTTTAAAACAATCCATCCTCATGTAATTTTATATTCCCTCTTGCAATCTTCTAATATTTTGGAAGAATGGAATAGAGAAGAGTTTATTCATAACAGAAGTTTTAATTTAAAAGACTTCAAAGCACTCCACAAGTTATATATGAATCACTTCACTCACGACTGAAATGCAGCGCCCTCTGGGGTGAAAAGTGTTATGCATTGAACCATCACAAAGTGAAAAAAGGATACCGTATCTAAGTGAAATGGTAAAGGGTGTTTTAGCTAGGCACACTTACTGGTGGGTTACATAATCACCCCAGTTGGCATCTGACCGAGTCTCCTCTGAAAAGTGCTGTGGGATTTGCACTGACCGTAAGTGGTCAGGATAATTCTTGTCTATCGTAAGTAACGACACAGTTAATAGAAAAGTGGGAGATCAGTTATTTGATTAAAAAAATTTGGAACTGGCTTTACTGCCTGAATAAAATTTGAAGTGGTAACATTCCAATTTTGGGATGTTTGAGAAAATAGGTGAGTGTTGATGAGGTGTTTATGGACAGCATTTGCTTTGTTGCTATTGTACTCAAACTTGACTGTTTTCACAATCCCAGTAGATCAAACTAGTTTTATATATCGCCTGCTCAATTGCTTTGAGACAACCAGTATCTTACATGGTATATTTGACACTGATGTTTTGTATTTCTTTACCTAATAAAGTTGTTTATGAGCTTTATGGAGTTACTTTTTAAACCCCTGAAACACACTGCATCTTGGGCAGACAGTGATTGTAAGTTCTGCTGTGCTTGGCATGACAGGGCTTTGTTTTGCTCTCAGCTAGAGCCATTTACTTGGACTATTTCTTTGGAGGCTGTGGGCGAACAGGCTAAGGAGAGCACAGTATCCATTAAACTAAATAATAAAACTAAATTGCTGCCTTGCAGTATTCAGCTCTTAAGTGTGGGGAAACAAAAATTGATTCAAGATTTTGTTGCTGTTCACATAATACTATTAGCTGTGCCTTAATTCAAATCAGAGTGAGTTCTGTCTCCTGGATGGTTGTTTTGGAGACTGAGGGCAGTATGATGAGGCTATTCCTGTTTGGACCCTTTAGGCCAGAGGTTCTTAACCAGGGTACGTGTACCCCTGAGGGTACACAGAGGTCTTCCACGGGGTACATGAACTCATCTAGATATCTACCTAGTTTTACAACAAGCTACATAAAAAACACTAGTGAAATCAGTACAAACTAAAATTTCATACAGACAATGACTTGTTTATACTGCTCAATATACTATACACTGAAATTTAAGTATAATATTTATATTCCAGTTTATGTATTTTATAATTGTATAGTAAAAATAGAAAGTAAGCAATTTTTCAGTAAGTGTGCTGTATTTTTATGTCTGATTTTGTAATCAAGTAGTTTTTACGTTAGGCGAAACTTGGAGGTGTACAAGGCAAATCAGATTCCTGAAAGGGGTATAGTAGTCTGGAAAGGTTGAGAGCCACTGCTCTAGGCACTTCCATATTACAAGTAATATCAGTCTTGCAGTAGAAAGAACTAAGAAATGGTGTGTAGTGCTTAACAGAAGAGTCTTACCTGTGAAAAAGAGCAGTGGGACTAGGGGGCAGGGCAAATGTTTGATCAGAGCGGGTGAGCATATATATATTAGTGGTTATGATCACGAAGGCATGAAATGATGCAACAGGTAGAAAAATTACCATGTCTATGATATACTTACTAGTGTCTTCATTTCTGAGAGGAGGATAGAAGAGAAAAATGGTAGCTGAAAGATGAATCAGTGTGCAGAGCTGGGGGTGAGGTGTGAGGGTCAGAGGGCACGCATGGCCAGCGGGCATGTGGAGCAGCAGGGCCTGCTAAGAAAGAAGCCCCGAACTTTGCACCTCATGGATGTAGCAGGAGAAAATTTTATCCTGCTGTAAATGGAGGAGGGAGAGGACAAGTGACAGGAAGGATGTGATGATTAGAAGCAGCAGGAAGAGGGGGGGGAAGGAGCTGCAGAGCTGGCCAAGTGGGTCTGCTATGCATTGAAACCCATTGATTGGATTAGGAACTACATGGATTGACTATCCAGTATGTATTGAAAAAGGAAATTGGGGGGTGATGGAAATGAGTAAAAGTGTAAATTACAGATACTAAAATACAGATATTCAGTCCTGTGTTGTGTTAAAGTACGTTACAAAGCATTTCATTCCTAGAGAAATGTGACACTAGTCATGTGATGCTGACTATGGTCTAAATTCAGCCCTCAGATACATGCATGCACTTGCCATTGACTTCTGTGCAAACCATTTGCTCTCTTCCTCTGGTATTTTTAAAGTGCTTATCTCAGGATCTAAAGCACCAGCACTACTCAGTATAACTTTACGCTTGGCTGTTTGTTAAGATTGTCATGTGAGAGCTAAGAACTTCATTTGTTAAGGATTTGGGCTTTTCAACCATCTTAGAGAGATGGGATTGACTTAGTGGTGTGGTGTTTTTTTTAATTAAGTAAAAATGTCAGCACAGTGGGCTAGTGGAAGCACAGTATAGTGTGAACCAGATGCCATCTCTAGGCTATTCTCCTTGAGCTGGCAGGTGTCTGGAAAGTACTTCATTATTAGAAGACAATCCTCATTGAGGAGTGCATGTGGCTTTGGAATAATCGGAGCATAAACAGCTTCAGATGATTGGTATCTAATTCTATGCCATGTTAATCCCCTGTGGGTTCCATGGCTTTGTGTTCTCTGTTTCTGATTTTTGTCAGTTAACTATTTTTCTTTCTTTGGTTTAGGTGATTTCAGAATGATAATTGGAGAAGACAGGTCAAAGGTGCTAAACATAGTGAAACCGAATGTGCCCCATTTTCAGAAGCTCTACAGTAACATATTACAGGAGTGCCCTCAAGTGGTGTATAAGCACCAGCTGGGCAGGCTAGAGGTAAATGGTTTACATTGTACGTTTTAAACCCACAAGTGGAATTGCTTTATTACTTAAACAGAGAACAGGAATTGCACAATGTGCCAGTGTGAATTTCTCTGTTTTTTCTCGTTTACATTTATTATATTTCTGTTACTCAACTACTTCCAGCAATTAGCAGACTTGGCACAAATACCAGTCTATAAGAACAAGGTTTAGCTCTCATGCACAGTAAGCTGCCGTTCAACGTCTCATTGGGTATTGCTGCTGAATGAGGGAGTCTTGGCAAGGGGGAGGAGGCCGGTTTAAAACAAGTGGCTTAATGACTGCCATTCAGAAGCAGCAGATTATGGAGTGTGATGGCCAAAAACAGGTGGTTTGCAACATAGAATTGGACAATAAATAACTTATAGGTATTACTATCTGCAACCAAATTAGCCTAGGTTTCAGTGAATCCAGAGAAGTTTGAGTTCTAGCCACACAGTTCAGTGAACCAAACCCAAACTGAGTCCTGGCATCATCCCATACTCCAGATGTCCATCCCCGGAATTCAGGTAGCCTGAGAAGGTCCTGGAGGAAGTGGATGACCAAGAATAACACTTTGGCTTGAAAGTGTATCATCAGAGCAGAAAGTACCAGATGAAAATGCTGGCCCTTTTGAATTACCCCCTCATCCCATGTTGCAGGCGATTGTGGACTTGCATAACAACACTAGGGTGTGTGTTCCTGTCCAATCTGTTCACTCAGCCCTAGTGTGCACGTTCTTGTGTACATTCTAAAGATTGTTGAAATATAGCAATCAAAACCATACGTTGCAGATCAGTAACAGTTACCTCATCTCAGTTCAGTGCATGGAGGAACTTTGCAATGGAATAAGTATTTTAAGTTAACTGTTGCTTTGAAGAATGGAATCTCTTATTTGGGATGAGAAGTGTTTTTTTTTTAAATTACTAGTAAGTTCAGAAAATAAAAAACTGAAAAATGTTGAGCAAAGGGTGTTCACCAAAACATTTCCTTCAAGTTACATAAGCCAGACATGATGCAAAGTTTAATGCAGATGAGAGAGAGAGATTTTTCAAACAGTTTTAATGAAAACTAATTGTAAAATAGTGAGAATTCCTATATATGACATTAATAATTTTGCTCAATGCTTGAACATATTCAGCACATGGAATATTCAGCACAGTTCCATGGTCTTTGAGACTATATTTGTTTTCTGCATTTATTTTATTTAAGAGTAATTTGAGTAAATTAAAAATACATATATGCAATTGTGTTAACTTGCTTGCACTATCAGCAAGATAGCATGTGCAAATTGGATGGCTACCTAAAAATTGACTCTTGCGCTTAGGTTGTCTTTCAAGGTAATGGTTGAGATTATGCTCTGGAAAAGCAGTGGGAGCTCTCACTTCTGTTGCCCACGACTCCGTATGTGCATTATCTTTCTGCATATATATGAAAATTTGTAGCTTTATGATCAACACAGCTTTAGCAGGGACCAAAGATAGCCAAAACCATCGGTGCTCACTTTGGAAACGTGTGGATTTTGTGTTAACCATCTTTAATACATGTGACTGAGTTCACAATTTTCCTTGTTTTTTGTGTTTGTAATGTTCAGATCGATAAAAGTCCAGAAGGTCAATTCATGCAGCTAATGGCTTTGCCGAGGACTCTTCAACAAAAGATAACTTCTTTTGTGGACCCTCCTGGGAAGAACAGAGATGTGGAAGAGGTTTTACTGAAAGTGGCCCATGACCCTGACTGTGGATTAGTGGTACATCAGGGTAGGTCTGTGGATGCATGAGAGGCAGTCTCTGATTGGAAGTGATATATTTAAGAATTAGTTTTATTATACTACATGGAAACAGCTTAAGAGAATCCAGCCCATCAATTTAGAGTGGTAGAGGCAGAAGAGAGAAATTACAATTCGGAGATGTTACATTGTACCCAAATGCTTAATTTTAGGATACAGTAGATGCAAACACGTTCTCAAAAAACTTCATGTTTGTATATCAACTTCCACTTGTCCAAATTAACATGGAAAAATATAAAGTTCCCATTTCAAATCCTAAAAGAAATCATTTTAAACAGAAACTTGGTTGAATTAGAACATTTAATTTTCTGGTTGCCTGAGAGGACTATCTTCCCTGTGAGAACAAATGCATAGTTTCAATCAAATATTGAGCTTCAGTGGTATGCAAATGTGTATTGTGTTACTCAGTTCATTTGAATTTGGAAGAATAACTCCAACAAACTGCAAAATCCTCACATTATAATTAGCACATATGTGGGATGTTCTTTTTTTTTTTGTTTTTTTTTTTTTTACTAGCGGTGTCTAAGGACTAACCAAGAATGAAGATCCATTGTGCTTGGCACTGTGTCAACAGAGAGGAGTAGACAGGCCTTTCCCCAAAGAGTTTATAATCTAAATAGATAAGACTGACACAGGACAGGAGAAAACGGTGTAAAACACAATGTGAAAACACAATGTGAAAACACAGTTTCATATCGAAATAGTTTGTTCAATTCTTTAACAAGCCCAGGCAGTGAAATATGAAATGACAAAGCCCTGCTGAAACTGTGCATGCTGAGGAAACATGATTGATTGAACCACCCATGACTGGGCAACTGGGTACAGAAATATAATGGGGAAGATTGAATTAATGGAATCAAACTCTATTAATTACTACCAAGTCTTCAATATTGTTTTTCCATATAAACAATGTCATGTTGTATAAAAAATTTAAGAGCATTTGGAACAAATTCTCGAATGAGCATGACAAAGCAAAATAAAAAGTTTTTGTTAAGATAATTGTAAGTTTTACTTCCAGGATGCTTTATTGTATAACTGGAAAATAGTTAAATTGTGATTTTTTTTTTTAATTTTGTTTTTAAGACTAAGATGGATAACATCTGTGTGTTTATATCCTTTCTCTATACACAGGCATTTCAGGAATTGTGAGATCTTCCAGTCTAATACAGAGTTCTAAAACCATACTAACAGCTGGTAAGGACATCTGCCATTATATACAAATGGGTCTTTTGGTTTCGGAAAGTACAAATTTTAAGACCTCAAGCTCTCTGTTACAGAAGTTAAAATTATAGACTTTTTGGTCTTGGGAAACAGAGAGATGCCACCGGAAACTTTCACTAGTAATCGCCTCTCTATTTTCTATGATTATTGGGAAATCATAAAAAGACAAAGGGAATCTGAAATGGGGTGTGGTGGAGATGTGATATTAAAAAATATATTACTTTAGAGTTCTGCTCTGTAGGGCACTTGACTAATTTGTACCGATACTCTGCTCTCCTTGTGAACTCCCATAAGGAGTAAAATTCCTTTAGAATTCCCTCAGGATTTCTACACGTGCGGGGAGAGCAGAATGAGTGTAGAGATTCGCAATGTAGACCAGAGACTAGAATTTTTGCCCTAAAAATGATACTAAGCTAAGCATTTACTGACAGAAGTTTCAGACTACATGTAAAATAAATATTTTGCCATATCACGTTTCTGACCAATCCCTCTGACAGAAACAAGCATTAGATCCACCCAGTAGTCAAAACTGCTCTATCGCTGGTGAGCCTCAGTTAAGAGACCAATACTTTCATGTTCTTAAAAGGGAAAAAAAAAAAAAAGTGAACTGTCTTAGAAAAAGAGTTCACAGATAAAAGCCACATGAGAAAAGGCTTAACTCTGTTTAATATTCAAATTAAAAAGATATACATTGGGCTGGGAAAGGCCAGCTGATTGAGGGAAAATAATTGATTGGCTGTGGGGGAACACATGAAGATCGGGTGACTTTTCCTCCTTCATCAAAAAAAACCCCATCACGTTCTCGATAGTTGGATACCCCATCCTGATGTGCTACCTGTCTGCCTCCTACAGTGGATCTAATATGAAGATGTTCTGAGTCTTCCAGTTTAAAAAACTATTTACCTCACAGCTAATTTAGAGTGAAATATATTAGAGCCTAAGCTGTTACTGAGTAGACAGTAGTAGGGTGAGTTGGGCCCTCATTAAGCCAGGATCACTGGTCAGCACATTAGAGCTTTCTCTAAGTTTCCCTTCAAGAAAAATCCTTACATTGCGCAAAACGGTGACTAGATGCAGGTTGTAGCTCATGTACATGTCCCCTACCTTCCAAATGTAGATAATATAAAAATTATGGTGTTTATGGTTTAAGAAGTTATTCTCCATACCACACACTAAAGGATTGACTTTCCAGAGCTGTTATCCATCTTGACTCAGGGGTGCTGGAACAGTGGGAGCCAGGAGACCATAGCTCAATCACTTTTTACCAGTCGTAAAAGGGGAAGAGGTGGAGTGGGACCTCAGGGAGAAGGGATGGGGTGGGGACATGGTTTGGGCACCGGTGGCCCCCCACTTTTAGGGAGCGTCAATCTTTTGGCTATTCCAAATGTTATGCCTGTTGCCTGTCTAAAAGCAATGTGCTTTGCAGTGTTCAGGACCATTACGATCTTATTTTGGCTAAAATAATTCTATAATAGGGATGATTGTACTTTGTAGGTTGATGTGTTTTGTTTTTTTTAAATCATGATGTTTGAGTCCAGTTATACCATAACTCCTCACTTAACGTCGTACCGGTTAAGGTTGTTTCGTTATGTTGCTCGTTTAAAGTTGCGCAGTGCTCCCTTATAACGTTGTTTGGCAGCCGCCTTCTTTGTCCACTGCCTGCAGAAAGAGCAGCCTGTTGGAGCTAGCTGAAGGGGGCTTGGAAGCAGGGTGGACCGGCAGCCCCCCTATCAGTTCCCATAAGCTCCCTCTGTGGCAGCGGCCCAGCAGGCTATCAATTGCCAGGCAGTTCAGCTGTTCCTCCTCCCACTGCCGTGTGCTGCTCCTGTCCTCTGCCTTGGAGCTGCTCCTGGGAGCCTCTTGCTTGCTGGGGGGGATGTGCTAATGTCAGGGTGTCCCCCTTCTCCCGCTCCGGTACCCCATCTCCACGGGGGGTGGGGGGACACGGCAGGGCTCAGGACAGAGGGAGCTGCTGGCAGCAGCTGCTGTCTCAAGTTGCTGATCTACTTTAAAAGGCAGTGTGCTTAAAGTTGGGTCAGCATACTTAAAGGGGCAATGCGCATCTCTCTCTCTCTCTCACATGTGTACAGGGTGTGCGTCTCACTCTTTCACACACGCACACGCTACTGATTAATACAGTAGTATTTTTAGATGTACAGAACTGGCTTGTGAAGTTCAAATATGTCAAAAGAAGGAAATGCATCTGAAGCTGAGGAAAGATGGGCTTGATGTTGAAGCGCAGGAATAGGAGTTGAAAGATCTGAAGTTTAATTCCTGCCTCTGATATAGGCTTCTGGTGTGATTTTAGAGCAAGTCACCTAACACTTCTGTGCTTCAATTTGCCTTTCTGTAAAAGTAAGGATAACATTTAGCTACTTCATGTAGCATTTGATCCATTCATCTTCATAAAGTACATTGAGATCCACAGATAGCAGGTGCTATAGAAGTGCAAAATATTGGTTAAAACAAAATATTGGTTTTTAAACCTTCAAAAATGTCTCTGAGTTCAGTGCTTGTGAAAGTTAGGTGACTGCCTGGGGGAATGAGACTGTTCGTAAACAAACTGCTACAGTATGAGTCATGGACGGCAGTGCAGGCTTCCCCACATTGCACCGCCTGAGTATCTAAACCAGGGGCGGCAAACCTGAGCCTGAGAAGGAGCCAGAATTTACCAATGTATATTGCCAAGGAGCCACAGTAATACGTCAGCAGCTCCCCATGAGGTCCCCCCCCAGCACCTCCCGCCCACCGGCAGCCCTGCTGATCAACGCCTCCCCCTCTCTCCCTGCACCTCCGGATCAGCTGTTTCGTGGCATGCAGGAGGCTGGGGGGGGGGGAGGAGCGAGGGCACAGCAGGCTCAGGGGAGGGCGCGGGAAGTGGTGGAGTGGGGGCAGGGCCTGTGGCATAGCCAGGGGTTGAGTAGTGAGCATTCCCTGGCACACTGGAAAGTTGGTGCCTGTAGCTCCAGCCCTGGTGTCGGTGCCTATACAAGGAGCTACATATTAACTTCTGAAGATCCGCATGTGGCTCCGGAGCCACAGGTTGGCCACCCCTGATCTAAACTCTCATCTGGAAGGACCCACTTCGGACAGTCCATTGGTGGTTCCTTCTCCATGCCTATTCAGCAGGCTACTTACAGGGATTTCTGTGATGTAGCTACCTGTGTTTTGGGACCCTAAAAAACACATTATGAAGACTTGTTAGCTCTATAATGTTTTCTGCTTTGTGAGTCTGAATATGTTTTATCGATAGCTCGCAGACTTACAGCCATCAGGAGCCATCTTGAGATCTGTTTTCTCACCTTCTTCTCTAATGTTGGTTTTGTGCCTAGATACACAGTATCATTAACTTCATACCTTACCATAAACAACATTTTTGCCTTTTAACTAGCCAGTCATGTGGGATTACATTTATCCCTGAAAAAGTTGGTAACCCTCTCCACATTTCCATGTTACTTTTGGAAACGAAGGGTTGGATGTGCTGGTTCAGGCCAAATAAAAATGGGCACGAAACTTTGCCTCAAACTTGAACCAAACCCAAACCCCAGTGAGTCTTGAAAGGTTTGCTTCTCTTTTCTTTCCTCCCTCCCCTTTTTCAGACACCTCTTACCTAGTTCTTGCCAAAAGCAGAAGCACCAAAATAGACAGGATTGATCTATTAGGATTACTGGCCTGCCTTAAAGTGTGCAGAGATGAGCCCTCCAGACCTAGGGAAGTTTGGATAAGGATCTGAACTTCTGGATGCCTACCAAAACCATACCTCTTGAGGTGTGGTCATTGCTAATTTTAACATCGGAGTGAATAGAACAATTTGAGGTCTCAAACCTGCCCTTCTATAAAAAGCATGTATCAGAAAAAGTGCCGTATCTCTGCAAAGTCTGCTTCTGAGCAGCTTTTCTAAACCATGTTGCAATATGGAAGAAGCCCAGAATCCTTTTCTTCTTGTAGGCAGAGCTGGAAGAACTGCCTGTATAGCTACTGTTGTGTGACACTTCCCAATGGAAGACCCTGTTTTCACTGGCTTATGACTGCCAAAGTTTAAGTGTTGGGGCTGAAATCTACCAGGCTGGGTGTCTGTCTCTGGTGACAGTATTGGAAAGGTTTCAGCTTCAGTGGTTCAGCCGTTTCTGAGGAAAAATTGGTTGTTTTTGACCCTTTAACAAAAATTCTTTCAACCACTGAGTTGCGGGGCTCTAGCGCTGTCATGCATTGATCCAGAGACTTGAAATTTATCAGAGGGGGTTGCGATGGGGTCAGGGATTTGCCTTTTGCCCTTCCCAGGAAGATTCTACCATATTTGCCAAGTTATGAACCTCTGTAAAATGTCCATTTGCATATGCTTAGTGGAGACTTCTAAATGCTTGGAAGATTGTCTGCACTGAGCCTGCTCTATCTTGGGGCTGCAGAGGCTGAGTAGGGAGACTCTCTTGTGCTTTCAGAACTCCTCCTACCTTTGCCCAGGCAGTGAGAAAGCTACTTGATTTAAATGCAGGGGGGTGCTGGAGCCAGAGGTTGGGAGATAGCAGAGAGGGAGAAGGGTGGACAAGTATATAGAAGCAGGGAGGCAGGAGCCTGGGGTGTGTGAAGGAGGTAGGGTTGGATAGAAGCCCTGGGGGAGGAGGGCAGAAGCTGAGGGACATAGGGGCAAAAGGATAAGTGACCATTACAGCTACTCCCTTCCAGAACCTGAAAATAAACCCAGGAATCATGAGTCTCTGCATGCCTCTCCTGTCTGCAAATAGTTGTCAAACCCACTGGCAAGGTGTCTCATCCCCTTCTAGAGATGGTCAACGTAGCAGAAGTAGGCTGTTATCCTCTCAGTTACTCCATGAGCTCAAGTGGTATGGATGTAAAGGTCTGAACCCTGCTGCTGACCCAAGTTGGGTTTTTGTTTGTTTATTAAAGGCATTTAGGAAATTAAATTAAAAAAAAGTTAAAAGAATGCTAAGGTTGCAAAGATAAGCATCAAAAGT